CCCAGGGTACGTTCCGGCAGTACCCTGGGGGACATAGACCCTATGAGCCTTATCTAGGTCACGTAAAAGTACAGTAGCCGTCTGCCGAGTGACGTAACAAGCTAAACTGCGCATGCACAGTCAATCCGTGCCAACTTAGCCCGCTTCAGTTTTGTGTCTGTACGCTAAACGATTTGGCGCGCACCAGTTTAATACCATATCAAATTTTTCAGTCTGTATGGGGTATCAAGTTGCAACATACAAACATCATGATCATGGTACGGCTACAACCATGGGTGTAGGATGTCATCTGTAAACACGATTAAGTATCGCCTTTACCGAACGTGGGCATTGGAAAAGTGTAAGTCAGACATGGGGCCTTCAAATGCCCATAAATGATAACGATACACTATACAAGATACAAGAATCTTTATTTAATGTCAGATATCACAAACAATAAACGTTAGCCGTGATGGGCTATTATTCCGACAAACATAAGTAAATAACAATACTGGTTAAGAACAAATATAGCCTGATACATATAAATATCATATACATATACCATATAGCCTGATGAAATGAAAATGAAGCGAACGGGACTTTTGAACACGAATGAGGAAATGCATCCACTCTGGGTACAAAACAACAATTTCAAATCGAACTCAGACTAAGTACCTTGCAAAGTTGCTGGCCCTGCGAAAGCTCATCAAATGGGTACCTTGTGTGACATTTTGTACATGCGTATAGAGCAGCCATAGTGAGTATTGTATTATTATTTCGGGAGAGCGGAAGATAGTAAAATAATGAAAAATCGGAAAATCTTTGTGTAGGTTTGATATCGTTTCCGGTTTTCGGTGTAAACAAACGCGATAACTTCCTTTTTTGTAAACGTGCAACACCACCAGAACAGTAAAATTAATTATAATTTTATAAACATGTATTATTAACTAATTAAAAATATTATTATTCTTATGTTTTTAACTAGCCTGATACATTTTCTTGACTAAATGGAAATTGCCATAACACACGCCACGATATACTTCTTACAGGAAAAATGGCTCGTCGGGGATAATCGGAAACGAGAGCGGGCTAGCAAACAGAGCACCGCATGGGAGGACCGCGTTTATACTCTCACTCTCACTGTCATCACCATAGAATTAATATAGATAACCATCTTATCTATATTATTTCTATGGTCATCACATCATAGATATATGCTAATACATGTTGTGTTGGTTTAGAATATATACCCTAACACACTGTGTTCAAATCATTTTGCTTATCTTATAATTGCAACATAAAATTAAAAATTGTGCACTATATTGTGATATAATAGAGATTTCTTGTAAATATTGATTTTGTATGAAAGCAATGAAGTGACAAGATTGGTCAACGAAGCAAGGTGACGTGTGCTCTGCAATAAATGTAGGTTTTTCGATGTAGGCCTACTGGTTGATGTTTGTCTTTATCGTTCCTCGAAATTCATGAGATGCTGGTTAACCTTATGTTGAAAACTCACATCTGATGCTTATTGAGAAATTCCATATTGCAAAGGGATGTTCAGCGTCGTAAAACACATGGTTATAAAGTTAGGGTTATGCATGGTTTTTCCCATGCAACCAAATCCCGTGGCATTCCCTCTACTCGTGCTATGAAATTTAACTGGTGATGACATCTGACTGGCAATTCCATTTTGCCTGTTAAAAATGTCAGAGAATAGATCAGTTCTTATTAGGGTGTATGTATAATCATCAGCATCGAACTACAAATACTTCAGTGATCATTTGAAGAAAAAAAGGTGCGAAACTCTTATTAAGTATTGGATCGTGTACTATTCTGTGTAATTATACGATCGATTTACATGACTGGACGATGCTGACCCCTCGTGGCAAAAGCCGGCATCATAGGGCTACCCCCACTTATGTACTTTACTATTACTGCGAGAGCTTAATTGCACCTAATGACGTGTGATATCATTCCTGTTTCATTGAGTTACACACCTACAGCGAACTTTATGTAATTTGTACCAGAACGTTAAATTATTTGTAGCCGTATGTTATTGTAATCGGCTCCCTATATTTTGCTAATAGCTTCCAGTTTTATCATGACAGGTTGAAATAATTGTATTAGTTAGGCTATGTTAATATATCCGAAATACATCAGAATGTTATACAATTTGTACTAACCTGTGGTAACGTATGCGAGCTAGTTTTACCTGTCTGTACGTGTGGTGGTTTGGCGCATATCGCTTCTGGAGTAAAGTAACACATGTGAGGGTTTCTGACGGGTGATAACCGTGATATCATTCTTTGTGTTATTGAGTTACACACGTACCGCGAACTCTGGGGATTAGGGGAAGCCTACTGAAATACATGTATGTATGTTATGCGCGTTTAGATATTTACGATCGATTTACTGACTGGACGATGCTGTCCCCTCGTGGCAAAAGCCGGCATCATAGGCCTCCCCCACTTACGTACTTTACTGTTACTGCGAGTTACTTACTGCGCCTAATATCATTAATATAATGACGTGTGATATCATTCCTGTGTCATTGAGTTACACACGTATCGCGAACTTTATATAATTTGTACAAGAACGTTAAATTATTTGTAGCAGTTTGTTATTGTAATCGGCTCCCTATATTTTTGTACGAACGTGTTTTAGAAAACTTACTTAACGCGTGGTAACGTATGCGAGCTAGTTTTACCTGCCTGTTCGTGTGGTGGTTTGGCGCATATCGCGTCTGAAGTAAAGTAACATATCTTGTTGTTTCATAAGACGTATTGTGAGGGTTTTTGACGGGTGATATCATTCTTTGTGTCATTGAGTTACACACATACCGCAAACTCTGGGGATTAAGGAAAGCCTACTGAAATGTTTGTGTGCGTTTATATGAATAAATATATATATATACGAATATGTTATATACGATCGATTTGGATGACTGGACGATGCTGACCCTTCGTGGACATCATAGGTTATAGGTCATAGGTTAGGAGCTTAACTGCACCTAATATCATTAATATAATGACGTGTGATATCATTCCTGGGTCATTGAGTTACACACCTACCTCGAACTTTATGTAATTTGTACCAGAACGTTAAATTATTTGTAGCCGTATGTTATTGTAATCAGCTCCCTATATTTTGCTAATAGCTTCCAATTTTATCATGACAGGTTGAAATGATTGTATTAGTTAGGCTATGTTAATATATCCGAAATACATCAGAATGTTATACAATATAAATATCATTATAATCTTAATTTATAGCCCATTTAGACATAAATCTTTAATTAAGCTGGTGTAATTAGTGATATATCCGCTAATTAGAGTTAGATTATTTCTTTACTACACGTTTTTATTGTTGCCTATATTTGATATGCGGCCATTTTAAGAAACATCGGGGTTCCGATAATGTTATTATTTTACTATTTTAATATGATCAGGTCGAATACTCTCTCTCTCTCTCTCTCTATAGATCTATCTCTACTTTCCCTCTCTCTCTTTCTCTTTCATTCGCGTATC